ATGGTAGGTGCTTATAGTGGGGGATCTTAATATATAAAAATCCCGTATCACTGTGTTCGTTTACGCTAATCTCCGAAACCGCTTAACCGATTTCAATGAAATTTTGTGGGTGTGTATTGTTTTCATCGAAATTTTGTCTATGCTTCTCGCATCGTGCTTATCTAATATATAAAAATCGTACCCCTAAACGGCTCGACCGATCTTTATTAAAATTTTTGTGTTATATATGGTAGGTATGAGAATCGGATGAAAAGTATATTTCATACCGCGAGGTGCAGGGGGCCTGGCACCTCCCATACAAACCGATTTTTTCATATTCCATATCTCTGGAAGTGTTCATGGTAGACTACTCGAATATGGTATGGATATATATGAAAACAATTGCACCTCCCATACAAACCGAATTTTTCATACTGCATATCCCGGAAAATGTTCATGGAAGAGGTCTCGAACATGGTATGGGATAAATGAAAGCAATCGCATACTCATGGAGATAAATTGTGGTTATCGGAAAAGGAGGATACTGCATATCTCTGGATGTGTTCAAGGAAGAGTACTGGAACTTGGTATGTACAAGATATATAAAACCAGTCGCTTGGTTATGAAGAAAAGTTGGGGCTATTGGAAAAAGGGGCGTGGCACCTCCCATGGTTAGATTACTCGAAAATGGTATAAAGGTATATGAAATCAATTCCATGCTCTTAGAGAAAATTGGGGCTATTTGATAAGGGGACGTGGCACCTTTCAAACGCACTGAAACTATTACGTATATTTGTATGCATGTACAGTTTTGGTAAGCTATTTAAGACGGCAAATATGCCTTCTGACTACCACCAAACGTTAACATATTAGAAGACAAATGCGTCACTAAAAATCATGAACGTGAACTCTTGGTGAAAATGTTGGACCAAAATGTTTCAATACAAAAAATTTTATTTTGGGCGGGACGAAGTTCGCCGGGTCTGCTAGTAGTATATAAACATCCGAAAACATTAAAACGTTTGAAATAAATGTCGTCTCACTTTTTTGTATTTTTCACTTGGTTGCTGAAGTAATGAAGAATTGCAAATTCATAAGGAAAAATCATGGTGAAATAATAATAAGGTGTTGTCACTTAGAAGGTGGTTGTTGTAATTTTGGCAATTTCGGCATACCAGCGTTACAGTAATGCCTACTGTATTTATTCCAATTTCATTTCTGGGCAAAAATTTTGTAAGTAAATTTTTGGTAAAATATATACTATACATATCCAACATATAATTGGACAGTGCCTCGGATGGCTACGATAATGCACTTTGGTCTAACACTTTAAACGCATAATTATTTTATAATATAACTGATAGAATTCAGAAATGTAATTTTAAAATGGTAACAGAAATAAAGGTCTTAATAAAATTCTCTTTAAAGTTAAGATACTTAAAAACTAAGTACGCATATACATGTACTTCAGAACTTAAGGAAAAAATACAAATAAAATTCCATACTGGCTAATATGTCATTTTTATTAGAATTTAAGAATAATTAAATAAAGAGAACGGTATAATTTAATTTGTTTTAATATGAATAAATGAAAGACGGAAAATAGTCGTTATTTTATCATCATATGTGTGTGGTACGACCGTGTGGCCTTTTAGGTTTTACAAATAATAATTTTAAGGTAGAAAAATTAAACTGAATAATAATTATTAAAATCAATATATTTGATCGAAAAAATAAAAACCAAGTAATAATAATTTCTTTTGAGCGAAAAAATTAAACTGTAATTACACTGGTTTACAGAAAAAATATTTTATTGATGCAAGCTTCATTTAACTGGTGTGGGGTCCACTCACGGTGGAGAGAATACAGAGGTGGCGCCGATGACGATACCGCTACTCGGCTCTCAGTGATTTTGACAGAATCAGCTGTTTTGGTGACGTCATAGTAGAGAAGACAGCAGTAGTGAAGTGCTGAGTCAATACTTTTAGATACCCAATACTCTCGATACTCGGTACCGAAACATTTAGGTTTCGAATAAAAGCGCACATAGGCCAAAAATATGGAAAAAACGCCTAACAAAACCCGAATGTAAGAGCCAATAGAGCTTTTTTACTGATTCAAATGAAAGATGTATATATGTCGGTTCGATGCCATAATACAGAGAAACCCTTACTTGTTTGAAGCATTTTTGTTCCAGCTGAATTGGACGATATCATTTTTGTAGGCCTGGGACAGATTCTGTAACCAGTTAACGACAATTTTCGAATCGGTATCGGTTTTGTCGACGTTTGATATCAAATATTTGTAAGTCAACAAGTGCGATATCGATCCGAAACTTGTCGCTAACTGGCACAGAATCTCTCCCCTGAAAGGCTTCTTCATCCGTCAAAGTATTTTTCTTGAACCTTGGATCGACTAAGGTTAAAACTGATAAAATAATATTTTTCTGTGGCGATAAGTTCAAGTGTTTTAGCCGATATCATATAAATTAGTAATGAAAGTTTTTTCTAAACCTGAAATGCATATAATGGCGAGGGTTTAATGTAAATAATCGGTATCGGATACCGAAAAGGAAGTATAGGGTACCGAAATCTTTTTTAAGTATTGGGTACCGAGTATTGAGGACAATTCAGCACATCACTAGTCGCCCTCATTCTCGCCGCTCTCAGTTGTCAACTCTACGCTGACGTCACGCTAAAATTACTCTCACAAATTCTGCTGCAATCGGCGCAATCTTGTATTCTATCATTCTTGGGGTCCACTGATATACACGATTGAGAGAATACAAAGGTTGCGCTGATTCGGACCGCTATTCCTCTCTTAACGAATTTGACAGAATCGTTGTTTGCATGACGTCCCACTTGTGCAACTTGTTTATGTTTTCCTTGCAACATTTTTTCTTCTTCTTCCATTCTTGCTCGCGTTTTGGCATTTCTCTCTCGCAATTGCACCAGTGTGACGCCACACAAAAGTTATTCTCTAAAATCCTCTCTGATCGGCGCAATCTTGTATTCTATCATTCTTGACTGATATATGTATGTATTGGAAGTAGTACCCAAAAAGGAGTATCCTAATCCTTTCCTCCTTTTTCTACTACCCCAAAATGCATGGCCGCAATTGCCATGCAGAAAAAGTGAGGTTATGTAAGTGATATCACTCATGATCCAACTACACAAGATCTGACAAGATGAAGCAAAAGAAAAAAGTAATTTTCTGTCTGACGTTTGTAATTTCGGCGCCATGTTATTTTCTTTGAAAAGTAAACAAAGAACATGAAGACGAAGCATAAAGAAAAAAATGCAAGCAATTTTGCAGCACATGTTTGTGTTAACCAATTTATTATTTTGTATGTGTTTTTGCCATCAATCACCGCGCACTTCATTTTAATTATATTTGCACAAAAAATTTATTGAAAATCGCTTAAAAATCACTGGAAAAAACCACCGACAAAATACACGTAAAGAAAGAAGCAAAACAGAAATAGCAAACTTCAAAATTACGAACGTCACACACTTTTTTCTCAATTGCTATTACAAATGGCTGCTTCTCAACCGGTCAGATCTGTTCTAATTGGTTCATGATATCACCTTATATTTATTTCACCATGAGGAAAATTTATAGTTGTCGTAAGTTTTATTTTAATATCTTAAAAACTTGTAGACTTATTGAAAAATGATAAATGAACGTGAGGTACTAATTTAATAACCTTTAATTTAATATATCGTCCTGTTTATAACAATTAGCGAATACCATAGATATACAAGCCAAAGTTTCGTTTTCAAAATTCATACACTTTGATTCAATTGCGCGGGCTAAAGATAAGTTTTAAATTAATCTTTCGTGGCCAATAACAATTGGCTTAGACCTAAGACATCATAATATTACTATGTATTACAATACGGTCAAATGCCTTTTATTTTCCCCCATACAAAATCGACCCAGCCTAATAGACATATTTATAAATATCGTACCTTTGTTGCAAGAGTGTCATAATCAAAACAAAAATTTTTGAGTTATGTATGCAGAAATGGCCGCCACCTCTTCTTCTGTGTTGTATAACAATATCCGTTTTTCTCGAGTTTTTGATTTTTTGGGTTATGACACTCTTGCAGCAAAGGTACGATACATATCGCACTCGATCTTCAAAACTGACACAACTCAACATAAGACGTTCGTCAGAAAATGCGAAAAACTATTTCGTACCACATGCTAATCATATGGGCAAGGGAGCCTTTACATTAAGTTTTTTCAACAAATTATAACACAAATTTGCTCGAACTTTTCCTGAAAGGTAAATAAAAGCTCCGTGTACATTTTTAGTGCATAGTTTCAAAAATGCCAAATTTTGAGTTGTGTCACTTTTGAAGGTCGTGTGCGATATGTACCAGTTTTGGTACTAAGTGATTGATTTTTTAATAAATTATTTAATTCGATTAAATTCAATTCGATTACACTTAACCATGATTAATTTAAATCTGATTAAACAGTTAATCGTAGCCGTGATTAAAAAAAATTTATTTTTAATTGTTAAATAGATTTGGTGATTAATTAATTTATGCTGGAATTGTCCTATGCACACATGGCTAGTTAATCGGGTATGACTAAGTCGGTTTCCTCATCAATCTAATGGCGTTTTCTTTTCTACCGAAAAATGCTGCCTTTTCAGTGCCCTCTACGCACAAATAGTAAGGAGGGGGCAATGAAAAGGCAACATAAGCAATTTGGTGATTTTCATTAAGATTTATTACCAACAGACGTTATGCAAACTAGGTTCTAATATCCCTCTGCACATGTGCGATGGGTTGTAAAAATTCTCAGCTTATGTAAAGAAACCATATAACTAGTCTCTTATCAGATATTTTAAATTGGATTAACGATTGATGATTAAGATTAATTAATCGTAATTACAACCGACGATTAACGATTAAACAATTTAATCGTCGCGATTAACATTTTAATCGTTAATAAGATTAATATTTTGCCAAAACTGATATGTACATATATTTTGATTTACTTTCTAGCGCGAATACTATCTTCTAAACCTTCACTCGAAGCACACGAAGGAAAACATTTAAATATTAAGCGTGACCTCAAGGAATGTCCAATGTGTCAGAAAAAATATAGTCAAGAGTATTTAAAGAATCATATCCTAGCTGTACACCATGGAGAGCGTAAATATACCTGCGATATATGCGGTGATTCATATAAAACCCAAGCACTACTTGGACGTCACAAATTATTGCACACCAAGGAGCGCCCTTTGGCATGCCCTCTGTGTGATAAGAGATTTACAGAACAATCTCACATCAAAGTACATATGCGAATTCATACTGGAGAACTGCCATTCGAATGTGATTTGTGTGGCCGCAGATTTAGAATAAGGGTACACCTCACTTATCATTTGAAACAGCATGCCAACATTAAGCACAAATGTGAGGTGTGTGGTAAAGAGTTTAAACACAGCAAATCATTGAAAGACCACTCGTACCTGCACACTGGCGTAATGCCATATACTTGTACTTTTTGCGATTACGGTTCTCCAAAACGTGAATAGTAAGTATTCGAAAATTAATTTATGTATAAACATACATATGTTATATGCGGTTAAATTTTTTATTTTATGCAGTTTTGTGAAACATATGATGAGCAAACACAAAACATCTATGACGGCTGATGAATTATTTGCTATGTTCAAGGCGAACACTGGTCGATCCCCTCATGTAAAACTAGCTGAGGAAATGGAAAAGATAAAAAGAAAAGTGCAGCCATAAAATTTATCGACCTAATGTACATAAATATGGCTCACTTCGCAATCGTCAATTGCTTTACACACGTACAAAGCATTAGTTTTGTTTTCTGGGTTATCCAACTCAATATCACGATCATTTCTCACTAAACTACATGTCAGTAAGTGGCTGACCCACGGGGGGTGTTTTAATATGGCGCATATGTATTTATAATATGGCGTCTATATATTAAAACACCCCCTGTGGGTCCGCCACTGACCAAGAAAACACAGCTATTGTGTTTCAAAACGCCGAACTACAAAATTTGAACAAAGCATTACGTTCGAAATCGCCTGAAACAAATTTTTGTTAAGTATCAATAAATCAATGAAAGCATCGCCATGATAACTTATGCTTTTTTTTATTTTATGATCAAAAATTACTGGAAAATACATCGTTTGGATCAAGCCGAATTCATATGATTTTTTCGCCTCGTGATTAATGTCAAAATGATGTATTGTTGTAAAAATCACTGTCATAGGCTCCCGCTATAATTTTGTATGAATTCGCCTTGGTTTGGATTAATATATATGGAAGAAAATGCACAATACCGTCAGCAAAAAAGGTTATAAAAAATCAGCAGCAATTTTTAGATTCTTCAAACTTACACTTAATTGTACGAAAATTCAATGGGCTATAATACTGCATCCATAAACACTGCCGGTACAAAGTATTGGCACAGCAAATTTTTCACAATATATGCAACAATTTTTATTCTCATATTTTTCCGCCAATCTATATATA